CGTCCGGACAGTGCCGTTCCATTTAGTGATGGGCGGCTTCCATTGATGACGGCGCAGAGGTTGTCGATTGTATATGTGTACTGCTGTTTCCGATGCTAGCTTCCAGAACCCAGACGTCATGCCAGCGTGGTGTCGCATAGCTTCTGCCTTATTCTGAATGGTCTGTTGCCAGCGTTCTGCTCTGCCGTTCTGTTGTGGTGTTCGCGCCACTGATAGCTGACGCTCTATTCCTCGTTCTGCTAGGAAATCGTCAAATTCGCGGCCTAAAAACTCCCCCCCACGGTCCGAACGTATAGCCTTGAGCTTGTGCTCGGCCTGTGTTTCCGCCCAAGCGACGAATTGTTTGAAGGCAGAGAAGGCATCAGACTTCCGTTTCAGATACCAGACTAAACCAAATGAGGAATAGTCGTCGAGGGTGGTAAGGGCAAACTTGTACCCATCGAGCGATAACGACAGATATTCGACAAGATCCATGTGTATTAAGTCAAGGGGATGATCCGCACGACTGTCAGATGCGGGAAATGCATCGCGACGAGACTTCCCGAATTTGCATCCATCACAGGGAGTATCCCTGGTTGGCGCCGAGATTTTATCCGGGACGCCTTTGACATTGCCAGGCAGTTGAACAACTGATTTCTTCCCGGCGTGTCCGAAGCGACGGTGCCACAAAGTATATGGATCGTCGGATTTGACCGACATTAATGTTCCTGGCTTAATATCGCTGGTCCTTGTGAGGATTTCAGCTTCCAGCCAATATAAACCTGACGACTTTTCATATTCGCCCTCCATTAAAACTGTCCGCTGTGTTGGGTCTGACCCGCGGAGTAATTTAAACTTCTTGCCATCCATCTCAATACGGTGTCCGTTATTGAGTGGCATTCTGGGCGCAAAGAACCGTTCTGCCGCTTCCGGTACGTATAATACGGTTTCTAACCGGATATGCTGAACTCGTCCATCTGTGAGACGATGTTGCAGAGCGATTTCACCGTGACCTTTGATTTCGATAGTCTGACCTTTGCCGGCCGTGTGTGCATGACCTGGCTTAGGGAATTCATGGTACCCAATAAAGTCAGTTTTGTACGGTGTGACATGTGTTGTGCAACCGCTGTCGACCATCCACTTAGACTTGACACCCGTAGCATAAAGAGAAACAGAGATAGATTCTTCCTCGATCTTAGCTACAAGTGGTACATTGACTATGCGTATTGTATTAACTGTCTGAGTGGTCGTTGCGGTATTGTCCTTCGCTTTGCCCTTTCTCTTTCCCTTTTTGCACTTTCCGCCACCCTGCTGCTGCTACTGCGTGTTGTTGCCGTTACCGGAACTCGAGCCAGAATTCGCCGGCTTTGTGTCCCAGTGCTGCTCCGTCGTGTGATTCTTGCGACCACACTTCTCACATTTCTTGTCGAGGAGAGGCGCCTTCAAGACACGCGCAATCTGAGTGCGATTCGCGACGTGGCGCTGTTCCTCCTCGACGATCTTGGGCTTGATGAGCGCTGCTGTGAGCAGCGTAACATCAGTTTGCGTAGTGAGAATTGTACCAGCGATGGTCTGGTACGACTTGGAGAGAGCATTGATCATGAGCAGAGCAAGGAGCTGAGGTTTAACCTCTATTCCCGCCGCGTTGACCTGGTTGGACTGCTCTGTGAGCGCATCGAGTTGCGGGCCGAGCGCGGAGCTGTCAGAGAGCTGTGCATTGAACAGCTTCTGGAAGGCGACGAATGCGCCTACCGCTCCGGGTTTCTTGTAGCCGGCCTTGATCGCGGTCCATGCGTCCAGGGCCAAGAACTTGTCATCGACAAGATGACGAAGGTTCTGTGCGACGTAGAGCTGGATGATTCCCAGCGCCTTGTCGTTCTTCTCATCCCATGCAGCTTGAGCTAGGATTTCCGTAGCCGTGGGTGTACCTGTCGCAGCTATTGGTCTGGCAAGACCAGGGACAGGAACGGTCGCTGTGGAGCCGTATCCCTGGATCAAGTACCAGACGCCCTGGTAGCGCAGGAAGGCTCGGATCGCGTTGGACCACTTTTTATAGTTGGTGCCGTCAAATTGTGGGATGGTGGATGTGGCGAGCTTGGTGGGGTCAGAAGAGGATGACATTGTTATCGTGTACGAAGAGGAGGCGAGTGTATGCGTAGAGAGTTTCACGTTCCTTTGGAGTTAAACCGACGTTGTAAAAGAATTCACTGAGATCAAGCTCGTATGATTCGGCTCGTGTCACTCGAAGTGATTCCCAATCTTCTTCCAAGAATGCGAGATCGTATTGCTGATGGATTGGCCTATAGTATAGATCTTCCGCAATGTCTTCCTGGTCGAGATAACAAGCGTATGGTTCCGAATATGTGTCGGAGCTTGTTGGAAAGAAGATATGGATTATATCTTCGTCGTGGTTTGTTAACTCTGCTGTGGCGTTATAGCTCGGCGATTCTTGGACGTGTTTGAAGAAGTAGAACGGGGTTAGCAACACTTCAACGTATTGTTCGTGTGCTGTCAATGATTCCCAGTCTGTCTCTATGTCGTCTAGTATATTCAGTCGCTGTCTGAATTCTGCGACGGTTTCCTGTTTTGTCTCTATGGTTTCAGGTACCGTATTTGTCTCCTGAGAGGTAGTGATTGTGAACGCTGTTGAGCGAACCACTTATCCCAGCTAAGCCGATTTAGCCGAGAGGTGGATAGAGTTGGGATTGGACGAAGGGACCAGTTAAACTACGACGCTTGTTGTCGCTTAGGATAAACACACAGTAGTCAGGTTTCCGAGTAGAACTTCTTTCTGATTGTTACAATAGCGTTGTATACAAAGTATCTACTTGTTCTCGTAAAATCTAACCGCGTCAAAATATCTGTGCACGTAAACTGCGCTGAGCGCTTGTACAATCCGGGCTTTGTTCTTGCGTAGCCCTTTGAACGAGATATCCCCTATTTCTCTGCACCCTAATTCTCACTTGCGCCACTCCTCGTATTTGACGACGTTACAGACGTCCGCTAGGCAGCGCTTGATGCGCGTGAGCTGCTCGATGAGTCGGCAGAGATTGCGGACTCGGTCGGAGTTGAGGTCGTCGAGCTCGAGAGTCTCGAAGACGTCTAGGCATTTGAGCGTGCCGTCGAACTTCGGTGTGAAGATGCGGACGAGGTCGGCGGAAGTGTGCTTGTCGAAGTCGATGAGTATTGGCTTCGGGGCGATCAGCGTATGTGTCGCCGGTGGGATGGCAGCGAGACGCTGCTCGAGTGTCGGCTTTGACGGACCGGCGAGGATCCGTTCGCGCGCCTGTTGGATTTCGCGTGCAGCTAGACGCTGCTCGAGGTCGGCCTTATTGGTCGCGTAGCGCTCGCGGAACTGTTCGCGACGTAGGCGCCTACCCTCGTGTGAGTTCGGAGGGAACGGGAGAGTGAGTGCTGGAGTCGGCGAGCGTAGTTCTTTGCCGCGGTGTTTACCGTACGGGACGGTCTCGACGGGGTCGCTGGCGTTGCCGGAGGCGGGCGCATAGCCGGCGGAGTGCTTGTACCGCTGGAAAACGGAGTGAGGGGGACGAGCGGGTAAATCCTTTGGCACTAGAAATTACGCAGGAATGAACACGTGAGCGCTCCGTCTGCCACTAGCATGCAACGAGACTTACTCGTAAACTGCGTGGATAAACTTTGTTTAAACTGGGTGAAGGGGACCGAGGTTTTTCGAGGGGTCTTCTTCAGCAATGAGACTAGTTGAGTGGGGGTAGAGTGGCCGTGAGGCCGGGGCTCATAACCTATTAAAGTGCGACTGAACTCTTGCTTTATTCTGTGCTACAGGGCCAGTATATATACATGTGAGTCAGGACCTCTGATACCGCTATAAGACCTATGGTACTGTGAGCGTAAGCATGTATACTAAGCATGAGTAATCAGGTGTCATATTACTACAGGATAATAGAGGGGTCATGTGATGATATCCCCATTAGTCCGTACAGGGCAATGACGTAATCGCCCAGTTCTGACAGCCACGTCCTTGCGCGACGCGTAAGACAATGAGCAGCGGCGCAATAGACTAGCATATGTAAGTTTTATCGCGGTGAAAGCACCAAAGTGTCTGTCAAGCTCACCTGCGCCTGGCCCAAGATTGATATAAGCATGAAACTTATCCTATTGCTCAGCGCATACGTGACGAGGAATGCGAGCGCGAACGCCACGTATAGCAGTGCAGACTCGATGAGCATGGCCGCAACAGAAAAGTAGGGCAACTGCTCGCCGCCACCGAAGGCCTTGCGGACTTGGTACCGCATGTAAAGCAGCTTGATGATGATACCCAGCGTGCAATAACACGTGACAGAGATCGATGCGGACCAGAACGTGAGAGCCATGTTCGCGTTCGTGCTTAGCCACAGAGCGCCACCGGGCACAGCCATTTGGGCCAGAAGAATAGACGATGGGACTAGGGCACATTTATGTGAGCTGTGCAACAGAAGCGTACAAGATGCACTCGCTTATGGACAACAGATATGCGAGAAACGGAGGGATGACAGCCCACGATGTCGAGAGGTAGACCACAAGATGTAGAAGCGATACAGCTGGTAGCTTCGTCAGAAGACTCGAAAATGCTGACATTAATTCAATGTCACCCACCAACAACCCATCTGCAAACCATGCATTTACAGTGTAGGCTGAAAAACCAAAGACGTTGATCTTCATGTAACCAGAGACTGACTCAAAGGCGCCTGGTCCACCAGGGAAGTTGCTGTCGTCGATGTATGCTAGCTGCTGGATCCGCATCGATGCTGCGATCCCCACAGAGCCTAGGACAAAGATACAAGATATGAAGGCGATTGTGCTGTAAGCACCTCTTGGCGAATGGCGACGAGCGCTCCACCATGCGTTGAAACAGAGGAAGAATAAGGTTACATGGACACCTTTTACGGATTTCCTGTCAGTGTAGGCAGCG